TTGAAAAGTGTCCTGAGATATTTTTTGTTATTAATTGGCGCTATACAAATAAAATGTTATTGAGTTGAATAAAAAAATACCTCATAGAAATGTTTGGTCATACCGCCCAGCATTAGGGCAGTACAAAGTGGTGTTGCTAATAGTAGCCTAATACAGGCCTAATTAAATGGTAGCACTATATTGTGACAGCTTTATTATTAAACATAAACCACTGACTCACGGTTCCAGTAAACAGGGTAGCATTCCTTCTCCCGGATATCCACTTCATACAGCCCCCCTCTGACACACACTGCCTCCACGCTGATGCTGATGTCGTCCGGGTCCTTGGTCTCCTCCGACACCGAGCGCTGCTGCCCTTCTCCCCGCTGCACCTCCGACTCTGCCAGGACACCTCCACCGTCCGCCGCCCCGCTCTCCGGCTGCACCTCGCCGGTCCTGACCGCATCCTTCCCCTCGGCCTCGGCAGGATTGGTGGGGCGTTTGACCTTGTTGGGGTTCTGCTCACAGAACCTTCGATAGACGATCTCGATTTTTAAAGAGTCGTGTCCCACGAAGGGCTTCCACGTGCGCTTGTCCTCTTTGTAGAACCACCTGACCTCCTCCGGTCCCAGCTCCGTGACGATCTCGCCGCGGTGCCTGGAGCTGTTGGACCGTATGCGCTTCTTGGTTGTGACATTCCCGTCACTTTCGGTATAGTTTGGGTCGATGGAAAGATACGATGAGTCCGAATATTCTTCCCCAGCCAGGCCCAGCATCATGCCATCCTGTGATAACGAGTCCGCCCGTAACAGCGGCAGGTGTCTGTCCAAGCCGGGCTGCGCTTGGTCCGGGTCCCCAGCGGCGACACTGTCTCCCATCGGACTGTCGTCGTAGCCGGACACAAACACATCATTTGCCATATCCCACTCACTACTGCTGACAGAGTTATTCTCCGAGCTCTGCTGGCGGATAGTCGCTTTATCCTGCATATTGCTCATGGTTTGGCCGGGATTTATTAGACTCAATACATTGAGATAGTCTAATAAAAAAATACACACAATGATACCAGACTAAAATACCAGATTAACGGTTTCTTTCTCCTCAACTGGGAACATCTGTATGCCGAGCTGTTCAGACCCCGACAATATTTCTGAACATTATACAAATTTAAAAACATTTGCCCGGACTGTTTAAGTGACACACAAACCTCATGCCTTCCTGTCTGTATGCGCTCTCGTTCATGTCCCCGTTTTTTCGTGATAAATGCTGGAATAATCCATGAACGGTACCAACTAGGATGACTATAATCTCAGTCGCTCTACAATGTCAAGTACACGACGACAAGTTTAACTTCCTGTTCCTAAAATTCAAAATAAACTTCACGAAAATGAATAAGCGGATTTTCAAAAATGTAATAATACAACGCAATGTAGAAATATAAATGTAATATATATTAAACGAAAATAAAACTGTGCAAGTAGTCTTTAGTGTTGTTCAATGTGTAATTAAAAAAAAATGTTTGCAGTCTGCTCTTTCAATTGTATTTTTATATATATGCGCTTTTAATTTGAAGGCAAATTTGCCATATAACGTTAACTAACGTTAGCTTTGTTCTAGCTTTCACTGGTTTGCTACCTTAAAACACCAAACATAAAGAGCAAAATGCTATAAAGTTAGTGAGTACAATATTTAAAATAAACATATTTTTATGAAGTTACTATCAAGTTGATGTGCGGTTTAAATAAAAACGTTAAACATATATGAAATATTTGCTGTATGCTTTGTATACCTTTTAGGCCACCGTAGGTCTAGCCTAGGAGTTCCTGTCATGGCCGTCATGGGAAGTGTTTATCAAAGGATCTTCTCATAACTTGGCTTATTCTCTGACATTTCATACATTATATGAAATGGCAGCGGTTTTCCTTGTGACCTTATACGAGTACTCCCCGCTGTTTTACATCAGTGTGGTTTCTTTGTGCTTCCTTGTTACCGCCGCCATGGTGCTCGGCTGGTAAGTAATATTTAGCCAAGTTAGCTTAGCCACTGTCTTGGCAGCCACCCTGATACATTATTTTCACACATTATCACCTCGAATGTAACCATAACATAATAACATATCGATTTAATACCACAGCATCTGAAGCAAGTCTTTTCCATTGGTTCTGTTTACAAGCATTTTTTCCCCCCCACAAATATGTTTAACACTGTATCAAATAATTGAAAAGTACTCATACGTCTAAAAGTATAGGTACAAATGTAAATATATATGAAACAGCAACATACAAAGTATGCATACAAGTCCAGTGTTTCTGTAAAAACAATGTAAGTAAACAATGCAAATGGTGCAAAGGAAAGGAATGGGAATAGTTACTGTAACATTACTTTATTTCCATGAAATAGGTTATAAATAGCATGTACAGTATGTAAGGGTTGCAGACATACTGATTCCATGGAATATTGTGGTATGAAAATTGAGAGTTATCGTACCATGTACATTTATTTATCTACTTTATTTAATTCTACTTTATTAGTGTTATTAAAAAATATAGAACATCATATTTTGTGAAATTAAAATAGTTTGTTCAACCAAAATAAGCCCTTCTGTTTTCATTTCTTTAACAGTGGTTTTCAACCAGCTTTATGGTTTATGCAATAGGCCTAGATCTCAGGAAAAAATCTGCTCAAAATTCATCCAAATCACTCCTTTTACACAAACTGTCTGCAGTTCTTTGGGTTCATTGTACAGTTTTGAATACAATATGAAATATCTATAAAATATGTAACTTAGTCAGGGGTCATAAGTTTACTAAATGATAGAAACAGGGTCCCTTAAGAAAAATGGTTGGGAACCACTGCTTTAAGAGTCATTGTAACTGGTCATGATAATAATAATTGTGTGATATTTTTTGAGACCGTTGCAACCCTACAGCATAAAACAAGATGTTTAAAACATTGTTAAAAGTGTGTATTTTAAACTGCAAATATATTATTTATCATTTGGAGGTAAGCAGATGTTTTTGTGTTAGAGGGTTATTGACACTATCTATATATTCAGCTTTTGTCTTTAAGCCTCTCACTGTCATATAGACTGATAATTTAGAGTTGATTATGGGCGATGCAGAACATATTCACTTGCCCACTCCTCCTCCTGTCCTGCAGGTTTGGCTTCGATGTCCCAGTGATCCTTCGCAGCTCTGATGAGACTGAGTCCATCCTGCCCACCCCTGAAAAGCTCATGGTTCAGGTGACCAATCCCTTCGCCCTGGAGATGGGCTCTGGGCCAGCATCTGTCAGTGGTGAGAACACTCACTCACCGTCAGTAATATAACACAGTAACCCCTCCTGTCCCAGCCTGTATGTATCTTACCCCACCAAGATGTAGCACCCTTATCTTTTGTGTCCCTGCCATGATAACGTTAGCAAACGCTCCCTTGCAGATGGTGTGTCAGTGAGGCCCTGCTGTCTGGCGCCCTGCGTCTTGAGCTTTTTCTGGGGCTGCAAGGTTCGTGACCTGAAGGGAGCGCTGCAGGCCCACCACCATGGCCCAAGGCTCAGCACCCCCCAACATTTCCTGCAGGCCCTGCAACTCTGCTACCACCACTACCAGAGCTTCCAGTATCCTTTCCAATACTAACAAAGAAGATTTCATTGTATCGTGCAGGTTAATATCACATGGTCTCACTCGCATTCTCAACCTAACCTTCCAAGCCCCTTTCTTTTTAATGGATGTAATCTTGGATTTTTGGCCCTAAAAACATAATAGTCGTGACTTATTGAGTTAGTGAGTTGAGTGATGAAGTTTCACTTTTGCTCCAGTCAGATGTTGGAGTTCCCTCATTGGCTGTTGCTCTTTCAAAATGAATAGGCGCACACGAGCTTTGCTGCTTTTCTAATCACACATACAGCTGATCTTTACCTCAGAAGTTCTAGGTGTTAATGGAGTGTGGTGTCACAAGGACAGGCTTGTGATGATTAATATGTGGAATAAGTAACACAAACAAAATAATTTTTTTTTTACAGGGGGTGTGGGGGGCTACAGTAGCTCCTGATGTTCTATTCTTTGACCCCACCCTCCCAGTATTGGCAATGAAGACAAAGAGGAACGACACACCAGGATCCCTGCTGAACAGGGGATCACAGATTTTGGGCCGTTGCCGAGGGAACGCTACCCTCTTGTGGCGGTGCTGACGCTGGCAGAGCCAGAAGCCAGAGAGACGTACAACATCGTGAGTCCATCTCACATTCACACAGTTTGCAGTTGTGCTTGTTCTCACATCCTCTGTATTTTCTGTATTTTCTGTATTTTTGGCATAAAAAAGGAGAAACTTTAAGTAAGAAATTAAAAAATACAAACTGTAAGAGTTGCTTTCTTTCCTCTTTCAGGTGGCCAGTGTGACTGTTATTCATGTTCCTGATGACAAATACAGCCTTTCTCAGCGGGTTCTCTTTCAGTACCTTCTCACCTCACAGGGGAACATGTACGAGTTAAAGGTAGGTCACCTGTTCCAGCAGGTCTTTTTCTTTCTTTAGGGTGTTTTCAACTTTTGCCAGTTTGGTTCAGTTTACCTGTTTAGTGCGGTTCTGAACTGAATGCTGTCAGATTAAAGTAGACCACAACACTAAGATCACTGTCATGAATGTATTATTTCTATCGAATTGCTGATCATTATAGTCAATAAAAACAAGAGAACCAAAACTGTCACATTTCAATATAGACATCACTATGACCATACCATGATTATGTTTGAGTAGTAGTCCATGTGAACATATCTTGATGTGTACAGTTGTGATGCCTGCATTCCATTTAGGGTGGTCCTGGTATTGCCAATTGGGCACCCTGTTATGGCAGGGGGTCATCAAAACTTCACGGTGGGTTGTGAGGCCTTCTTGATTTGAAGGGGTTTCAGAAAACGTTAAAAGACATACAGTTGACCTCTGCAGGGTACCTTTCTAGGAGTTTTTATTGACAATACAGGACAGCACTTGCTCCCAAACAGTCATATAATTTACCAGTAGGCCTAGTATTGACTTATGTCTGGGTGGTCAGGGTTTTATGTGGGACACTCCACGTTAGCGCGCACCTGACTTTTCTTACCAAAGCCGATTTTTCCGTGTGGGCTCCGCTGAATTGACTACAGTTTACTACAGTTTTCCTTTCAACATAACATCATGGCCACCGCCCAGAAGTAACAGGTCAAATCAAGTAGAATTTATCTTGTTTTACAGAAAATTTTGAAATGTGTATAAGGAGCTGAAGTACAAATAAAGTACAATTTCTAGGACAACATATATTATATCCAGGATTTTTGGTAGTTTTAATCAAATTACAGGCATTTTCATGACTGGAAAGCTAGTCCCTAAATTTAGTCTCTAAAGGTTGTCCAGGATGTGTGGCAACCCTGCTGTATCTCAGAAATGTATGAATGAAATTGTTATTTTTAAAGTTAAGATTATTATTTTTTTTTAAACTCACAGGATAAGGGCATGATGAAAACCTGAACACAAGTTATATTCACAGAGACTTCACTCTGATAAACAGCCTCATCCTGCATTAGAAAAGTTCAAACAACCAAAGAGAGAATAATGAGAAGGAAACACTGAATCTGTCAGAAAAGAAGCCTATTAAGTATGTATGATTGTTGGAAAGTATGAAGGTGGATTTACACAAACCTCCTAGTTATTGTGTTCACTGTACAGTTTATCAGTTGTTATACATTGAATATAATATGAAAAATCCATAAAATATGTAACTTCAGTCAGTTTAGTGATAGAAATGGAATGGACCCATCGTTAGTTTAAAAAAAACGTACCTCCTGTCTCCTGCAGCCTCTCTTCATGTCAGCCGACAGTGGGGTGGCGTCTGTGTCTCCCGACTCAGAGCAGTGTACCCAACCCAGAGAACTCAACGTCGATGCCAGCAGAGTGGAGCAGGGTCCAGTGCAGGAGGAAGTGGCAGCGGAGGAGGACTGGTCCGAGGGGAGGGGCAGAGACTGCGTGGTGTGTCAGAACGCAGCGGTGAACAAAGTGCTGCTGCCCTGCAGACATGCCTGTGTGTGCGACAGCTGTGTGTCGCACTTCCAGCACTGCCCCATCTGCAGGGCCTTCGTCCTGGAGTCCTTCACCCTGACACAGGGACCGGCTGCAGAGCAGTGACTGTGCACTGAACCACAGGGTGTTATCTAAGAACTAATATGCAGCAAGATAAAATAATGCAAATAATGATACATAATATTATTAATTGAGCTGTAGGGGGCGCTAACAGCAGAGATATCATTGAATTGCATACACTGACATGAGCCATATGCTGTTACCCAGTTCATTCTACAGACTACCTGCTGCATGATTTCCAGTCATTTAAACCTCTGTGAAGTCACAACACACCTCATCAGTTTGAGATCATGGAGGAAGAAAAGAAGTTTCCATTTTGGGATATTTTCATGTACAGATTATTTATGTTTACGCCATTTTTGTGTGTATTTGTTTTAGAATGTGGCCTCTTTTACAGCACAGTATTTATTAACCACAGCCAATCAATTCCTCAGCTTTAACAGACGACTGTTAACTATGAACTATAATGAAGAATTAAAAAGATTGATTGTGTGTGCACGTGTTCCTGTTTTTATGGGCAGCGGACAGCAGCAGCAGAGGACAGCAGCAGCAGAGGATGCCGAGCCGTCACACAGGAGATCAGGGTTTGATGATCCATGTGGGTTTTTAAAGGCTCACAAATATTTAAGTTGTATATTTCAAAAGATTTGTTTTTGAATTGTGATCCTGATCTGCCTTAGGGTAACAATATCAGGGTAACCCAGTCAGAGGCAGAGTAGGATGGGTCATGCCCTCACCATTCCAAGGGGGAAAAATTGTGTTCTCTTGGCTCAATAAAGGTTTGCTTAATTAGCAGCTCCTGTTTGCAGTGTACCATGGGAGTACAAATAACCACCACTGGATCTTTGATACTGAAGAAAACTTAAAAAGCTATTGATTCTAAGGCAAACTTGTAAACATGTTTTGTCTTTGATTTCTAAACAGTAATATGAATGTTGATTGATGATTAACCTCTCTGGCAGCCACTGTTTGAGGCTTTTGGCTTTCTCAGCTCAATGTTCATGTCCATGACAGACCCTAGCCTAATCTAAATCCTATCTATTACCACAACCATAATCACAAATAATGCAATGAGTATTACATTAACTACTACTCTCGGATTATATATTGACTGCTTGCTTTGTATTTGATTTACAACTCATAAAACAATGAATCTTCCCATTAGTCAAGCGCTACATACCACACCTACTTTCATATAACAAAAAGGAGAGAATTCTCTCTCTCATGGAAAGCGCAACAGTTAGGCTACTATTCATTCATCTCCACCCAAACATTAGTTATAGACCCCCACAAAACTTGAACCCTAGAAGTTATTAGAAGACGGTTGTAAATCGTCACTGAAATGGCTCAGATGTCATTTGTTGATGAGAACTTTCAAGTTCAGTACAAGATTTATTTAGCTTTTCCAAAATGTTTTCAAGGTCAGGAACAATCAAACTCAGAATGTGTTAAATCAGTTTTTGACAATGCAGTAACTGAGAGTCCATCACACTCACTTTCAGGTAATGAGAGAAATGAATGGTCATAAATTGACTTATAGTATATTTCAGTACATGAAGATAGAAGTGTATTTTACATGTGGGATGCCAGGCTGATCAACCTTCGATCAGGAGTTACTAAGTGAAAATCACTTTGTTGGCAACTGTGAGGAAAGTTTACTTTTTCTGTTGCTTCCCACAAACATAAACAAACTTTTTTCTGGCCTTGAAGCACAGAACACAGCAAATCCATGAAAATGCAATGAAAAAGATCAGAAAAGGACTGACACGGAGGATTTATACAGGCTTGTAGTCCAGCTTGGACTCCAGCTTCTTTGAATCTGCTACCTTCCTCACAGCTTTCATGAAGTCTTCCTGAGTGACGTACTCACGGTCGGAGCGGATGGCAAACAAACCTGCAAACAAACATGAGTGAAGAGAGCTGTCCATGGACAATATAGGACATGGAAGTAATAAGGATAGTGAATGAGTTTGTCCAACCTGCTTCGGTGCACACATTTCTCAGATCAGCTCCGTTGAAACCGTCAGACAGCTTCACAATGGCTTCATAATCTGAAAGCAAGCAAAGGCAACACAGCTTGAGGGGAAACCTTTGATCAATACACCGGAAGAAGTAAAACAACAATCTAATGATTCTTTTTCAAATTTATCATTCACTCTATGAATGAGATGCTTCAAGTGTCTATTACAAATCCTTTTCTGTCAACCGACTAATCCAGCTGTAAAAAACAATAGTAATGTCTAATATAATAATATATTAATTATTAGAGCTGTAGCGATACACTAATCTCACGATACGATACACAATATTCAGCTCACAATACGATATATATCACAATATTCAGCCAACGATACGAT